TCTCAGCTGAATGAGATTTACCAAACATTGGATTATTTTCACTTGATTTTGCATTACTCATTTTCTCTAAAGTAAAATCAGTATGTGATTTACCAAACATTTTTTCACCAGCTCTACCGAACATAGGGTTTTTTTGAAAAAGCTTCACTCATTTTTGCTAATGATTCTTTTGAATGTTTAAACCCTAGCAAGGAACCTGCAAATTTAAGTATATTCCAATAATATTATATTATTGCATATTAGGTCTTATACATAGTTATCGGTATGAATAAAGATAGTCAATATTAATAAATTTACTATGGTATTGTTACAAACTTTAAGGTTTATTGCAATAAAGATCCATTACCCCAAAAGGGGAAAGTAAATTGCTTATTAATACCCGGTCAAATGTTTTTATTAAGATTTATAAAAATAAATATATTCTATATACAATAAGTATATATTGCAAAATGCAGAGATTCGAACTCTGATAAGATAAAAAGCTTATCTACTTTACCAACTTAAGTTACATTCCGTTGGGTGTATAATTATTTTTATAAATAGACTTGAACAATATAAGTACTAATGCCTTAGTCAAAATGATCCTATTAAGATTGAATATATAATTAATGATTATTAATATATAATTAATTAAAACCGGTTAAGATTATTATTTTTAATTATATTTTAATCCCTATCCTGGACTTGTGCAGGCCCTCACTGGAGAACACTCGAACCTTGGTATATAGTTCACTAGTACCTTTATTGAAAATAAAATCATCATAATTAATTGGGCGAAGACAAGGAATTGAACCTTGATAAATAGATCCACAATCTATTGTTCTACCTTTGAACTATAATCGCCTTATATATTTCTCAAACTCGAGTAAAGCGGATTCACACCATTTGATTAATATTTTAAGTTGCCATTTATATGAATTGGATCGAACCTTGGTATATAGATCCACAATCTACCGTTCTTCCGATTGAACTATAATCGCCTTATTTATTAATAAGCTTAATGACCTTCTTTAATTAAAAAATAACATTTTTAGATATTTAGTTAAAATTTAACTTATTTTAACTATTATTGAATTACTTTTGAATCAAAAATTTTTAGAATTTTTCCACAGACGTTCCTTTAGGGAGCTATTATTTTTATTTTAGCTAAATAAATTATGTTATAATATTAATAATTTACTGAGGGGGGGATTTTTCATAATTCTTAATTCAATTAAACTAGTATTAAAATATATTAATTGATAAAAATTAGTTAAATCCCGAGGTTAAGACCTCAGTTAATAAATTTATATAAATTATAAATAGAATTATAATTTTACTAAATAATATCACTATAAAAAATAATTAAATATTACCTAGTTATTTCCTTTATTTTTGTACCTTAATTTATAAGATTTATCTTTAAATCTATAAATAATATTATCTTCACATCTTCTAGAAATTGTTCTAATTGAGCATTCTAGAGCTGAAGCAGCTGCGGATTTAGTTAAATAAATAATTTCTTCACCATTTTCGATGTTTGTACATATGATAGTAACACCTCCATAAGAATTTTTCATTTTAGAACGAGTATCTTTTGATACTAATTACTCTAGCACTGTTAGTCCAAAGAGTTTGCTAAAATAAAGAGGTATTATTCTTTATTTATAAATTTAATATAGAATGAACCTCTAAATAATTTTCCTAAATCTCTATGCTAAATTTGCTTTATCTGCTTTTAAATATAAGGATAAAGCAGTCATCGACTTAATATAAATTTTACTAGATTCGTTATGTTTCCACATATAAATTCCAGCTTTACCTTTATTATCCAATAGAACCTTAGATAGGGGTACCATAGATATTTATTACTAGATTAAATACATATTTATTTATTATTTTATCTTTTTATATCTTTTCTTCTTTTTATACACACCCTTATGAGGGAAAAAGAGTCTTAATTGGATCTCCTATTAGATTTTTTTGATTCGATACTTAACTTGCAAGTGAAGCCTAGCGGCTTTACCGAAGTTTTATTTTTATTTTAAAATAAAACGTAGCCCTTTGGGTTGCTTGAGTGTATCTTATTATCTTAACATATAACTTTAAGAGGATGTATATGTTAATCCCTTAGTCTAAAATAAAAAAGATTAATATTGCCTCTTTTTATTTTATAGCCTCTTTTTTTACTTTTTAAAAATAAAAAATGACTACACAAAAATTTTACACTATAAATAACAATGTTTACGGGTTAATTGATTTAGAATATCTGTATCTTTTAATATTGATTATACTAATGCTACAATTACTACTAATAAATCTATTTCTTATAATGTTACTTTGGATGGTTTAAAATCTACTGTTCATGTATTTTCTAAAGGTAGATTAATGATTACATTTACAGATATTTTATATAATACTTCTGATATGTCTTCATTTAAAAGAATTATTAAAAAACAAGAGTTTATTTTTTATAATGGTGTTAATATCGCAAAATTTATTAAAAGAAAATGTAATTTTATTAAAAAATTAAAAACGTAATAGATTTTTATTCCCTTTATTACCTAATAAGGTATAAAGGCTTTTTTTTCCATAATTTACATATTTTACCACAACAGAAGATGAGTACAATTATATGGGGGGATACTGGGGTGTTAATATTTATATTAAATATCAATACCAATTACATATTAATGTAAGTTAATGGCGTCGTTAAGATAAGATGCTGTTAACATACTAAATACCATTTAAAAGAGAAAACAGGGGAGGGGTGTTAAATTCTTGTATAGATTTATACTAATAATTAACACTAGGAAAAATTTAAGTACTATAGAAAAGTAAGAAAGCATATTACCTCAGTAAAATTACCATCCTTTAACTTTTATTGTAGCATCATCATTTAAAATTGAAGTATTATTATCCCAAATTCTAAAAATTTCTTCTTTTAATTCAGGAGTCCATTTTACTCGTCCATTAATTGAATTGCTATCTAATAAATTAAGTATATCCTTTACTTTCATGAAGTATATTTAACTTCATACCATATAAAGGGTTTAATTCAAAGAAAGGTATAATTACATTTCTTATAGTATTACGATCACTAATATTGATCTGAACAGTATCTGAAGTTTTCTTATGGATCTTTACATTATTTAAACCTAAAGCCAATAAGAATGATCTTAACAAGAACGTATTATCAATGTGTTGTGTTATACCGTAAGATAAAGAACCCAATATTTGAGTTTTAGAATTAGAAGAATTTTTTCTTAATGAGAAATGACCATCGCATTTACTTTATTACTATATAATTATTAATTAAAGGGAGTCAACAGTGGGCTGTCTAATCTTCTTTAGTTCCCTTCTCATTTAACTTATACATCATTGATGAATGAAAATAAGGGGATACTAAATCTCTGAAATTAGACATAGATTTGGACGATATATAAATTCTATATAGACCTTTACTATGAGTATGGAGAGAACAATCTAAGTCAAATTTATCTTTAAGTACTTTGATTAAAAATAAATTATCTTCTTTAGTATAAGATTGAGTATTCAATCTAAAACCAGAACCTGTTTTTGAACCGTCGTCCATTACCCAATATGCTAATCCGGCTGGAGTTAATAATTCCTCAATATTTAAAGGAATAATTTTAACCCCATTTACATAAAATAACTCATGATAATAATTAAAACATGGTAATGCATAAGTATAAAATGTAACTCGAGTATAAATTTTACCTGTCCTAGAATCAGGTTTTCGAGCACTAGATTTAGGGGCTGAACTACAATAATTTTGAAATAAATCATATAAATGTAATAAGTAAGCTTCATGTACAGAACCTTGCTCAAACCGTAAAATAGGATTTGTATATACCTTACTAATATACAAATCTCCTAAGCATAAACCAATAATAACCTCATGTAAATCTGGAGAAATAGAGAATGAATTTCTCTCATTATTTGTTAATCTTTTAGTACTATAATACCGATTAACTAAACCTGCACCTATGCTATTGTAAAAATTTATCATCAGACTTGAACTCATTATGTCATGTCAATGAAGACATGACTTATATTAAACTATCTTTTAATCAATTCTTGTCAATATATCTTTTGGTCTTGGTCATTTGGTGTATGGATCAAGGGTAGAATTGAACATGTTGTTGAATTTGTTAAAATTATTTGTCATTGTCAAAAATATAATTGTACTCGTCATTATTTAATTTTGAGTGGTTCAGTCCACTTAATTCATTTTTATAAAATAAGGGGGGTGTTAATATAAATATTCACACCAATTACAATATTAATGTAAATTGATCGCATCATTTAAATACGAAGCAGTTAACATTGTGAATACGTTACTTTGGATAAAGGCAATAGCAATCTCTAATCCAGTAAATGCAATTATGAAAGCAAAAGGAATTATTGATACTATTAATAATAAAGGTCCTCCTATTACAGCTTTCCACGTGAATGTTGAAAAGATTTTTAAAAGAACATGCAGATGGGTGTCTAAGCTTTTAGCTTATAATAAATAAGATTATAGAATATATATTCCCCTACATACTAAATTAAAGTTTATACATCATAGATGAATGAAAATATGGAGTAACAAGGGACCGAAATTTATCCATCGAATCTTTTAAAATATAAATTCTATACTGATCCTCCTTTGGTATATGAATTGAAGAATTTATATCAAAGTTATCCTTTAAAACCTTGACTAATAACTGTACTTCTTCAAAAGAAAAAGAATCGGTACAAAATATATAGCCTTGTCCTTTTATAGCCCCATCATCCATTGCCCAATACACTAAACCTGCTGGTGTTAATAACTCACCAATATTAGAAGGAATTCTTTTTACTTTATTGAAATAGAATAAATCGTGATAATAATTAAAACAAGGTAAAGAATAAGTATTAAAATATATTGTATTATTAATTTTACCTGTCTGAGGTTTAGGTTTACGACTATTAATATTAGGGCTTGAACCACAATAATCTTTAAATAAATCATATAAATGTAAAAGATATGATTCATGAATTAAACCTTGCTCAAATTTTAATCTTGCATTTGTAGCCTGTCTGTCAATAAAAAGATCTCCCATACTCACTCCTATAAGAATATTATGAATTTCATATGGAATAGAAAAAGAATTTCTTTTAGCATTGGATAATCTACTATAACTATAATTCCGATTAAGGAAATTAGTCTGAGAGCAGTTGCCCCTTACACCTATGAGAGAAATACAAGAAAGAAAAGTCACTTGTTGAGTGAAAACATCTATTATAAATGTGAATACCATGAAACTAATTAATAAAAAAACCATCAATTTTTTAGCTGGTGGAATTGAGCCACCAATGAAAATAGTATTGTTTGAAGTTGCCATATCGATAAATATAATTGTACTCGTCATTATAAAATTTTCAACGAACATAGCCACTTATTAATCATTTATAAATTGAAAATACTACATAATCTTTAAAAAATAAGGGGGCCGACGGGGGTGTTAATATTTAATATTAACACCAATAATAATCTTAATGTAAATTAATAGCGTCGTTAAGATAAGATGCTGTTAACATACAAAAAACGTAGGCCTGTATAAAGGCTATAGCAAGCTCTAATCCAGTGAATGCAATTATAAATGTGAATGGTATTATACTAATAATTAACGTTATTGGTCCACCAATTACTGCTTTCCATGTGAACGTTGAAAATATTTTTAATAATACATGACCTCCAATCATATTAGCAGTTAATCGTAACCCTAAACTTAAAGCTCTTGCTGCATATGAGATTGTCTCAATAATTACTAACACTGGTACTAATCCTAAAGGAGTTCCAGCTGGTACAAATAATCCGAAGAATTTTAATGCATGAGTTTGGAATCCTAAGATTGTTACACCTATTAAAATTGCTACTGAAAATCCTATACCAAATACAAAATGAGAAGATGGTGTGAATGAATACGGTACTAAACCAATTAAATTAGAA